TAATTTTGTTGAACGTAAGAATTTTAGAAAATTCTTCTTATAACGCGATTCGTTTTGTCTGTATTTATTATATTTTGAACATGTTATGTTGTCGCACTGACTTTATAGTTGCCCAATTTATATTTAACCACTTTACACATTTAAATGTTAAATTAATAACAAGAACATTAATAATTTATCTAATAAGCAAGTGTCAGTCAACCTGACCACCAATAAATAGGGATCGTCAGTCAGCCGTCAGGATCCGTAAAAAAATTAAGTACTTATGTACCAACTAACGACATACAATCGCGTAATATTAATTAACAATTTATTAAAATTGGCAATACCTACGTAACCCATTGAAATAAAACAACAAATATGTTATAAAAAGTAAATAAGTATTAATTCAATATGTATTAATTTCGTCGTTTCAGTAAATAAACATTAACCTAATAATTTAATGGTACATAAGGTACATACTTAGATAGATACCATTCGCATTCCTAGACTGAGCTACATAGAGGTATATATATCGAGGGGTAACGGGCTATTTGGTTTAAGCGACATTTTTGCAACTTTACAGGAGAGCCTTTTAAAGTTTGAAATTTCGAAAAAAAATTCGTAACAAAAACATTTCTGCAGTTATTTGAACGGGGTAAATTGCATTGAAATTTAAATTAAATTATCTAGTTGCTGATGCTAATTCTAAATAAAGCGGACCTTTAATTACAAAGATAAATGTCGCTTAATACAATCTGCCCTTTTTTAGAGTCAGGAAAAACGATTTAAGTGACTTCATAACTACAATTGGCTACAAGGGAAAAAAATTAAGCGACAATGCACTCTATTTATAGAGTCAGCTAAAAAATATGAAGTGTCGAAACCCAAAATTAATAGAAGCAAGCTATTTATCTTAACTACCAATTCAGACTAAAATGAGTGACAGGCTAATTTACTTATGTGACATATAACATTGAAATTATAACGTTTAATGTTTATGTTTATTTACATCTAAGGCGATTAATGGCTGATAAAACAACCTGGATATATCGCAATCACCGAAAATCTCAGATGCTTACATTGAATAAATAAACACAACACAATATCAAAGTATTTATTTAGAGTAATAATAACAGTTTCAATAGGAATATCGATTATATTTCAGCAAAATCAATTAAATTAATGGGTCATTTACTGAAATTGCCGTTTTGTATGAAAAAATTTAAACTATTTTTTCATGTATTTTTTATTTGTATAATCAACGTAATCACCCATGCAATCAATGCATCGTTGCCAACGCAGTGGCAGTTTATTGATGCCATTCTTCAATCAGCTGGACGGGTAGCAACAAATTCTTCAAATGCATTTTGTACTGCCTCTCGGTTATTAAATTTTTTCCCGCCAAGAAGTTATCCAAATTCTGGAAAAAGAAGTAGTCTGGTGACTGGTGAGTAAGGTGGATGTCGGAGAGCTTCACAACCCCAGTTCTTGTAACGTGGAGGCCGTCTCTTGTGCAGCTTTAGGTCGCGCGTTGCAATGCAGGAGCAATGGAGATTAGCGATTGACCAGTGCTGGTTGGAGATGTGTCAGCTTCTCCATCATTGTGTTCAGTTCTTCACACTACACATTCGTAGTAATGCTCACTACGTTTGGTAAGAATTTGTGATGAATCAGAATAGCGCGAGCGCTAGACCATCAGTGACCATAACTCTTCTAGGGGTAAGTTTTCGTTTAGGGCATTGTTTAGGTGCTGAACTAGGATTCAACCAACATGCTAAACGCGTGTGGTTATCACACAGATTTCATTTTTCATCGGAGGTGACAATGCAAATCAAAATTCTTTCATTTGTGTGTATATTGAGCAGTGCAGTGCAAGGCACTACTCGATGCATTTTTTTTAAGGGTGGAAAATCATCGAATGACTGCTCCCACCTGGGTGAGGCGGAAAAGAGTGTCAGACTCTTACTGACTAAAAATCACCCCGTTTCTTCTCCTGCACGTCGAGTCGGAGCCCCGGTTACCCGTTAGGTTCTCCGCGACTCCGAATCGGCATCGACCCTGTTGGGCCCCATCTGTGGTGGTCTGATGGCTCTTTGAGGAGCGCGCGGAACGCGACGCGCCGTACGCTCGGGTCTGTTTCTGGTCGGACGTGGAGCCACCCATGCTCACCGTCCGCAGGCCCGCGCTTACGGTAACTGGAGATCGTCCCGCGATCCCCGACGCCAGGTGTGTCCTTCGCGATGGCTGGGTTGCGAGGAGCCAGCGCTTCGCTGCCTCACACGTCCCGCCTCCTCCTTAGCTAGCATAACTGCTTCGCAAAAGGAGGAGACGGCATCCCAGTCCCCCTCGCACTGCTCGATGCATACTTAGCTCTGTTGATCATTTAGTTTGTGGGACACCCACTTATCAAGCTTTTTTACCTTGCCAATTTGACGCAAATGTACCAATATTGTTTTGACGCTAACGTCGAAAGCTGTTGCTAAATCAGCCGTAGATTGTATGTCATCAAAGTCATTGTTGCCAAAGTCTTCGAACGACCGCGAGTTTCATCTTGAAATTAAAGTACTTAGGATTCAATTTCGATGAGCGTTTTACGTAAACAATGGCGGTGTGCACGCGTCCGGTCTGTCTTCGGCGCACTCTGGAGTGACTGAAGCGCCAGCGCACGATAGTCCAGTTGGATGATAACGATTTTTAACACCAGGGCGATGAATTAAATATGGTATCATATGACATGATTGAAATGTACCATATTAAAACTTAGTGATTGAAAGACCGACTCGTATTTCTATGAATACTGGAAAAATGTTTCAATATTCATTATCAATGTTATCGTCTGTACAAAACGACATGCATTTAAAAAAAAATGAGGGTTAAATGGTTTATGACTAAACAAAATATCTGAACGAAAACAACTATTTGGTTTAAGTAGCACCCTGCGTAGAAAATAGAGGCAGCTAGAAATGTTTAAGAGACGTACCATGACGCATTTGGATGACGGACAAATGTTTTAAGCGACATCAAACCGTGTGATTAGTGGGAAGTCAAAATGATTCAACTTACTTGTTAATAAAAATTAGAAACAAGAAAAACGCTTTAACTCATGTTGACTTAATAATTAGAGATAGGGTGACTGGTTTATGTCTCGGTTATTAATATGATGGTATGGTTCAAGTACATAATTTAATAAAAAATGCGAAATCCATGTCGTTTAATACACTGCCACTTTGGAAACAACATGAAAATAGAATTGTTTGAAACGCCAAAAAAGTGCTCCGATTTTAATGAAACCGGCATCATTCGACGGAGAAAAATTCGCTGATTCCGAATATATATATAACTCAATATCGCCCAAAATGTCGCTTAAACCAAATAGCCCGTTACCCCTCGATATAATGAACAAAATCGCGTTTTTCATTATTAAATGCCGTGAAATAATATGGATTTTATAGCAATCAATCACAAATATAAGTAGTGATAAAATGAATTAATGTCACGTTTGCCTCATAAACCTTAGCAATCAATAAAGAAAATTATTTCGAAATTAGGTACTTTAAACTAATGCTGGCAACACTGGCTTATTGTTCGAGCACCATCCATTGACATAATTGCTGACCCTGACCTTACGTCGCCAAATGTAACTAGAATATCAATTGTGTAGCGTAGTTAATGTTTCAGTTTAATGCAGACCTCACGTCACGACGAATGATAAATAAATCATTATTGCTATGTTGAAAGGTGAAAACTTGCCTACAGTTACCTCAGCAAACATGACGAAAGTAGTTGAGGTCAATGACTACCGTTGCCATAAATTTTATTAGCGATTGTCTCAGAAGGCTATTCTTGTTTGCCCAATGGGTAACATAACCCATGAAATAATTCCCCATTTAGAGAAAATAAGATTCAGACACCTGAATGAGAGCATTTGCTTACACTACTAATACCCACTCACCAAGTTTGAAATTAATGACTTATCGCAGTGTGTATCTATGTACCATGTAGCATACTCTATAATAGGACATTATAATTAGATATTTTCATTATGATTGTCATGTGCTTATTTAATCAAACATTTTTAAATCGCTACTTGCGTACATATTCATCACCAAAATGTTATTTCCGCCTAATCAATAATTATCACTATCAACAAGGCTGATTTCAGATTCCAAGGCAAGGCAATGTTTCAATTTATTGCAGACAGTATATGTATACTTTGTTGTAAATAATTATGTTCTGCAATTTGGCAAATAAATGATCCACTTTCGTTTGGTAAGTATTGCCGCTGCAAAAATGTTAAATTATTCTAATCATCACAATATTTGAACAAGTTATTTTAATATATTTATTTTTTAAGTTACTAACTCTATTTAAATAACCAGCAGTCTTTTTCACATTACGAACAATGCAACGAATGGTTTTGAAACCAGATTGTAAGTAGGTACTATATATCTGCGTCATTCATTCCCCTTCCTAAAGGACTTATTATCCTGTTGAGAAAAAAAGACTCAATATCTTTTCCAATGACGTCTCACGTCACTAGTCACTTGTTGGCTCCATGTTGCTCACGTTCGTGTTCGTCTCGATACGCTTTGCTCTAGATGTGCTTATTTTTATTTAAATCAAACGTAGCCTGTCTTTAATCCTTTGGGAAAAAATAAGATTCTATGTACCTACTAAATACATAAATATAATTATAAAATTTTTGAAATTTCTGCATATATTGTGTTTAACTAGAGCACAATAAAACGTAAAGTCACTTTGTACATACCAACGTAATTTTACTTTACAAATGTCATGTTTATTGAAGACAATCATGATAGTAATAACAGTAGACAAGTGTAAAACGTAATTGCAAATACCAAGAACAACTACTTAGTCGGCCGTCATCAAGTCTCAATATTGTGTGCACCGAACAGATTTCGTATTTAAGTTTATGAAGACAGAAGTTAGTAGGTAGGTACAAGCAAAAAATAAATAAAATTTATTTATTGCAGTACATTACATATAATAATACTTACTGGATGGAATATTTGCTCAGCAGAATTTCATCTTTTTTGTTTTCCTTTTTGGAGTTGTATAGCCACCAGATGGTGCCTCCCAATAAGATAACGAGAACAATTATATCAAAGGTGCTAAACAGCGATCCATCAGCGGCATCGGCAGCAGCAGCGGCGGCGCCGGCTACCGCATCCTGTAGAACGTCCTGTGCGCTGTCTGACATTTTGTAGGTTATGTTTCTTTTCGTAATATTACGGAGTAATATTTGTCACTTAGTTAAATAAGAATGAAGGTCACTTGTCAGACTTTATTTTTCGAGAGGACTTTACAACCGGCACATCCGGCGACAGCTCGCCCCACGACACTTTGTACACTGCACTGACACTGAAGTGACGTGATGGTTGGTTTCTAGTTAGTAATGTGATGGAACTATACGTTGCGAGTGAACGAGAACGATAGCCGACACGATCGGTATACACGATAGCGCAAGCGAACGTAACCGAAAAGAACCGAAGAGTGCGTGTACGTGGGTTCTAGCGCTGCAAACGAGACCGTAGCTGCCTTGTACCGGCGGCGTCGCTCCACGTGCCGGCTGGAAGCATTTACTTTGCTTTATTCACCTACGGTATCAAGGTTTACGAATGAAGCGTAATGGTACAAAATGTAGAAATGAACACGATACTCTGGTCGTGCCGAGTGCACCACGGTCGCCTGCGGTGACGTGGACACAAATGTGAAGCGGCACGAGTCGCCGACCGAACAAGTTTGCTGTTGCATCAGTGGCACATTTGTTTAGCAATTTAAAATAATGCTTAGGTGCAGACTTATCTGGAAGTGCATTAAATAGTACACAGTGTATCAGTTATTCAATTTTATTTCTACACTTCTTTAGGTTTTTCTAGTTCATTTCAGAAATAAGTACTTAAATATAAAGTTGTGATTATTTTTTTAAATTTTTACTTACCTACAATAAATTTTTCGCTATAAGGACAGACGAGTTGACTCATTGAAATATACAGCAATAATAGCATCTCAATTGCAATATCGCAATTTCCCAATAGAATTTCCTTCGAATATATTGAAGACAAAAGAGAAACGTAACGTTTACTAATATGACGTGACAAATGTCACCTATTAGTACGTAGTTAATTCCTTCAAACTGTTTATGCAATAAATTAATTATTTATGCATGTATAAAGGACAAAAGCGAACAGTATGTAAAACTTTACAGTTTCCTTCACATTAATGTATGAAAACTTCCGCAAAATATAAAAATTCCGACCTTCAGACAAAAATTATTTATTTTGACAGACTTGGTTTAATTAAAAACCACCTGGGTATCTAATATCCGTTGTTGTTTTCACTGTCAAAATATTATTTTAATACTGAAGTCTCAAATCATTTACAAATAAATTATCGTTTCCATTTTGCTACCTATCGTATTATTTATAATAGATAATAAGATTCATTTCTGTTAAATTTACCAGATATTACTAGGTCGTCGCTAGACAAGTTCTAACAAGTTTCATACGTAATATTATAATATTATCTGGACACACGGGTTTTGCCAGTTGGTGATCATCTAAATATTCTGAAACGACTTCAACTTCCACACAACAGACAGAGGGTCTGGGGGTTAACAGAACTTGAATAACCGTAGATGGTTTCATGAAATACCCTTAAGTTCGACACGCACGCTTGAAAAGAATTGCATCTAGAAGAAGTACTGAGATAAATTTGTGGTGTGACAAAACTGGACAGCCATTAAATTCATATTAGCTCATTATAAATGAATATTAGCTCAAAGTGATACTGATATAAGAAAATAATGTCATCACTGTTGCTTTGAAAAGAGAGCCACATACCGAATGGAAACCAACGTGAAAAAGAAAAGATAATATTGAATTGGATGAAGAGGAAGAGGACGGCCATAGAAAATAATATAGTATATTTTAGCGATAGATCAGCTGGTATCAACAAGTGACATCAAATTACTAGTAGGTAAGAACTGGAATAAGTTCTCGATTTCGTTTTCACATGATTTTTTAGATTATTTTATGGAATTGGGTGCCAAAGGAGCAGACGGTTCTCCTAATCTTCTGTCGCGGAGAACCTAACGGGTTATCGGGGCTCCGGTTCGACGTGCAGGAGAAGGAACGGGGTGTTTTTTCGTCAGTGAGGTCTGACACTCCCTCCCAGGTGGGAGCAGTCATTCGATGATTTTCCCCCATAAAAAAATGTTAACATCTCCTGAGTTTAGCAAAACAGCGCGAATAGGCGAGTGTGTTGCAGACCTTTATCTAGTTTCCTTTAGTTTTTAGTAAATTAATAAATACTTAAATAGATACTTTATTCTAGGCACGTCCTTCCCCTAAAATTTACGTAAGTAGCGACTTTACTAAAAATAGGTAAGTATGTATTTATTACATTATTCAATAGGTTTTATGGAATAGGAGGCAAATGAGCAGACGAATCACATGATGGTAAACGATCAGCCTCGCGCATAGACACCCGCAACACCACTCCGTCTTACAGAAGACCGACGTGAAACAACGCTTGCGTTGTATTTCGTCGTGTGCAATTACCCCCTTTTCCCCAATTCCTAAATCCCCAACAATCCTCAAATTCATAATCCCAAAAGACCGGTACGCACTTGTAATGCGTCTTGTGTTCCAGGTGTCCATCCATGGGCGACGCCGATTGCTTACCATAGTTACCATCAGGTGATACGACTGCTCGTTTACCGCCTTATCCCATAAAAAAAACCATAGGAGTCACAGGTGCGTTGCCGGTTTTTTAAAAAGTCCTTTAAGTGCATGGGAACCTCGTGCACTCGTTTAGGAAAAGGAAAGAACAATCACGATTTTATAACTGCGTAACATTTACCTATATAAGCGATTTAGTCAATAAAAAGTTATTGGCATCGTGTTTTAGAGTAGTCAAATTTGTTTTAAATTCCATTTGAGTCACAACTCTAAACCTAACTCCGTACAAATCTAAAAAGAAAATTAATCTTTCGTTTCTTATTAGTATTTTTTTTAAGAAGAAGCTTACATTTGTTACCAATTCTGAAAATGTACAAAGATGTGATTAGTGATATACCGTTAATATTTATTATCAAAAGCCTAAGTATTATAACATTATTTGTAAGACACTTTAATAGAATTTAAAACACGTTTTATATCCATACCTACTACCTACTTCTCAACCTTGGATAACTTTTTGTGAATTGCCTATTTAAAATATACAATCTAATCACATAATTGTGATAATCTTGCTTACATTGAACAAGGTCAACATAAGTTGTACATAAGTCAAATAAAATTATGCCATACGCCAATCCAGGACTTCATACAGAAATAAAATAATTATGGCTATAATTAGTATGTTTGAAATACCTTATATATAAATAAATAAGTGCTTCCTGCATCTGTAAAGTAATAAAGTTTGATGGTGAGATAGCTAAATGTACTTACAAAAACTGTCCTATTTTTAAAATTCTTTAGAGGCAGGCCACCGACCCTGTGACGCATGACAGCTCCTGTTTTCCCAATAACTTTACGTATGAAAAACAATGTTTGTACTGACGTGTTTTCTGTTCAGTCTTACTTTTTTGTTTAAGTACGAAAAGTACCTACGTTAAATAAATCATGTTTAAATCAATTAAATACATATGAGGCTATTGTTTCTGTTTTCTATGCTATTTTGTAATATTTAGTTTTTGTCCTATTTTTTTTACTTAGTATTCTTGATTTCAATAACATGTTAGGTACTTCCGTGAAGTTCCGTATTCGCTCACGATTTAGAATTCGACAATCATGGGATTGTACGTTATTGTTTTTCTTTTCGACGATATTTGTCGGAGAAAAAAAGTTACCTACCTAACCTACCCAATAATTAGACAATCCACAAAAGTTATTTTGGTTTTAATTAGATTGAACAAAACACACTTCTCTTCGGATTTATGATACATACCTATTTTATAATATTTACCTGCCTAGTACTGATTTTTTTATGGTTTTCGTTGTAAATTAGTAAATTGATTTCATGACTTGGGTACCTGTATATATTTAAACTGTTTAATTACTCACATCGCAAGTATTAAAAATTCGTTTACGCCAGCTTATCGGCACTATGACGTATTCTAATCATTAAAATGCATTGATCGTCATACAAAAGTCACGAACTTACAAGTAATCTCTCAAAAAGTACTATAAATTCCTTGGTCATGATGATCTTCAACTACATTATACTTTAGTTTTATTTTAAAGCCACGTTTCATAACGATTTGTTTTCCTGTCACTAAATAAAATTGTTGTTTTGTCATTATGAGTCTCTGGTAGGTACGTATTTGGTATACACTATTTTATATTACGGGAATATCAAACTGGGTAATATGATTGCTGTTTTCAAATAAATCAATATTTATGAAGTCTTTATTCCATTTTTTTTATTTTCTCCTGTGTCGTGGGTGCGTTTACAATAATACAAGTTGAAATTCACATGACACCCAGAGCCGAAACAACAATTCGTGGATAACACAAATATGTAATTGCTCTGTGAGAGAATAGAACTCGTTACACGTTGCGCGGCAGCCGGTTGCCCAGCCACCGCGCTAACCCTGCAATCAAACCTTAAAATGCTTAAATCACTGTTGAAAGTGCTATAGTGCTGACCATAAACACACCCGCCTTATACAAGAATAGGTGCTTTGCATTGCATTCTACATATATTGATGTGGTTGCATAATCTTACTTTACGTGAATATTAACTTACTAAGTAGCTAAGTTACCTAGATAATTTGTACCTTATTTTGGATTTAAGGAAAATACCTTGAAAGCAAGGTAACTAACTGTGGCTGACTGTAAGAAAATACTGTCTTAAAACAGGTAGGTTCATAACCTTAACAAAACTGACATACCTAGGTATATTTTATTTGATTACAATTTACAAAAATAGAAAAATTATTTGATGATTAATTATTAAAAGCAGAAATGTACGTTTTAATAGAAGGCGGGTAGGTAACTAGTTCACTACAGTATCCACCTACAAGTTAGCATGTGGTGACTTGAGTCCAATGACCTAGGAGGTTAAGGAAAAAATAAAAAAGAACTTATACTAGCACTCTGGCAATGAAACCAGTCACCATGATTTTGTAATAATGTGTCAAATACTTCGTTGGGGTAGACAGAGACAATGAAACGATGAATCAATACATTCAAT